AGGTCGGCAAGAGCCCCAAATGCCCAGAAACATCTGTATTTATTAGGTGCAAGCAGGGGGCAGGGTCATGAGTGAGGTCATCATCTATAGGCTTAGTAATAAAGCATACATAATCATGTAAGTCACAAGTGAGGGGGCCACCCCATTATGTCACTTGGGCAGAGAGGTGGGCCCTGCGCAGTAGGGGGCCCCCTCACTTGTGACTCACATGATTATGTATGCCGTGCACAGTAGTAGAGGGTCATGTACAGAAAAGGGGTTCACCCCCATTACGTCACCAAGGTAAGGAGGTGGGCTGTGTGCAACAGGTGTCGTGTGCAACACTTCTTACCTGGAGGCTGGAGACTTCAAAGGATTTCTAATAGAAGGATACTGTAAGCCAATGCAGTGGGAGCTGACAGACTTGTGCTCTTCTCTTAAGATATTTATGGGAGGGTGATCTGAGCTAGCACAGAAGTGAGAAAAAACTGACAGGTTGTACAGCCACCATGACTTCTCCCTTGGTTATTTACGGGATCTCAGGCCTGAGGCCTACTTTGCACAGGAACTGGATGCAAGGTACTACAACTCCTTTATCAGGAGAGGCTCTTGCTCCAAGCCTGCCGTACGGTGTATGCCCTTTCAGGCAGGGATGCCACCGCCTGGGTCTTTGGTTCTTGTCCTGGTCTGGCTGTTTTCCCATGTATTTCTTCTGTTCTGTGACTGCTTTAGGCATTCCTCCTACTGCAGACTATTATATGGTTATATAGAAGGATTATATAAATCAGCACTAAATGTGTCAGTACAGCTCCAACTACAATACCTATGTGATTATATAGAAAGATATATAGAACTAAGTATGTTAGATATAAGTATTAAGTGTGATTATATAAGCTAGATATATGTAAACAGTAAGTTATACTTCAGGCACTAATCCTATATACTAATATATTATTATATATAAAGGATTATATAAAGGAAATAGCTGAGTAATAACACTATAAGATATTCTTCAGGCACTAATTGTGCCTGGCGTCTGAACGGGTCTCCTTCCTCGGTGCCCATGGGGGGTGTTACCCACAATTAATGAATGTTTTTCTGAGGATGAACACTGGCAAGACAAAAACTCTGCCTATTTTTACTGCAAGTGACAAATTTGCTTCAGTGAAAATGAAGCTTGAGAGTCAGACGTGAAGAATTGATTTTAGGGAGTTGTATGGGCTGTGTGAGACTCTTAATTTACAGGAATTAAAATAACACCATTATTAACATCCCAGCAGATTAACTATCCTCTGATTAGTAAAAGACTAATGAGTAAATCAGAAAGACTGATTCTGCCACATGGCACAAAAAACACATGACCTCTGAGAAGATAAACATAGGGAAATTTCCATCAGCAGAAGCCTGAAATTACTGTACTGGTCACCTCTTGGAAAGTCATCTAGGCCTCACTTCTTAGCAGTCACCTTAGCTAAGAGAACAGTAAAATTCTTCCTTTTCTCAAACTCTACATATTTATTAGCATCTGGGTTCACAAAACATTATGATACAAAAGACAAAGGAAAATTTGCTTAGAATACAACTTAATATGCAGTGTCAGAAAACTCAGCCAAGTTACCAGAAATCGGTAAATCTGATTCATCTTTTGTATTGATGTATTAGGTAGAAGCATTTTTTCTTCTTGATGAGAAGTAATTTTAGAACATTATTTTCATATTAAAATCAAAATATGAAATAAAGGTGACCTTTTGAAATCAATATGAGATTCTAAAGAAATGTTTACATTTGGAGAGCTTCACGCTATTCACTGTACTCTGCCATAACTTTGTGTAGATTTTTTTTTTTTCCAGTAGAGACAGGGTCTTTGTCACCCAGGCTAGAGTACAGTGGCATGAACATAGCTCACTTTAGCCTTTAACTCCTTCAGCCATGAACTCCTGGGCTCAAGTGATCCTCCTACCTTGGTCTCCTGAGTAGCTGGGACTACAGGCATGTGCCACCACGCCTAGCTAATTTTTTTCTTTTTTTTTTTTTAAGACGGGGTTTCACCATTTTGGTCAGGCTGGTCTTGAACTCCTGACCTCAGGTGATCCACCCGCCTTGGCCTCCAAAGTGCTTGGATTACAGGCGTGAGCCACCACGCCCAGCCTCTTTTATTTTATTTTATTTTTTTTTTACTTTCAGTAGAGATGAGTTCTCACCATCTTACCCAAGCTGGCCTCAAAACTTCTCAGCTCAAGTGAGCCTCCTGCCTCAGTCTCCCAAAGTGTTGGGATTACAGGTGTGAGCCATCACGCCTGGCCAAAAAGCTTTTAAGAAACACGGTTTAGCCGGGCGCGGTGGCTCACGCCTGTAATCCCAGCACTTTGGGAGGCCGAGGCGGGTGGATCACGAGGTCAAGAGATCGAGACCATCCTGGTCAACATGGTGAAACCCCGTCTCTACTAAAACTACAAAAAATCAGCTGGGCATGGTGGCACGTGCCTGTAATCCCAGCTACTCAGGAGGCTGAGGCAGGAGAATTGCCTGAACCCAGGAGGCGGAGGTTGTGGTGAGCCTAGATCGCGCCATTGCACTCCAGCCTGGGTAACAAGGGTGAAACTCTGTCTCAAAAAAAAAAAAAAAGAAACACGGTTTAAGTCTAGCATAAGATTAAGATACTGATTGTACAATAGAAACTAAAGAAATCAAAACATAGTCATTTCCCTTTATGTCACTGTCATTCTGTGTGTAAATCACTCAGTTCCCACCTCTTCCATGAAACCTTCAGGCTCACTTGGGCTCAGAGCAAGCTGTTGCTTGTTCTGAATTGCATTCATGACTGTATGTATATGTATCCACAGTCTTGATGTAACTGGCTGGGCCACAATAGACACTCATTGACCAGAGTCCATGGTCGTGTTGTTTAGACCTCGACTATAGCATGACAAAAAGAGTTCCTTACTTTAAAACAACAGCTTAACTTCAAAAGGGATCCTAAGACAGTTATTTTGTACTCTAACACAATTTACCATTTGCTTATGGCATTACTGATTTCTCACCAAAAACATTGTCTGTCTAGTCACACTTCATTGTGTGATGGAAACTGGTGAAGGAAACCGTGAGGTTAATTGCCCAGCTACAAAGGCTGTCTCCACCCTGCAGTTTGTCTAATCAGGTGTGCTTCATCTCCCACCACCTCAGTCACATTCCCCCAATTCTGCCCAATGCAGGGCCACACCCTCTTCCCGTGTAAGCCCTCAAGCAGCGCCTGCGACTCTCTCCATTCAGAGTGCCCCTCAAACAGCTTCCAAGTAGAATAGGGCTCCCCTTAGGTCTGCTCTGCCTGTTGCGCACTGCCTAAAGGGCACTGCTGAAAAGAGTTACCTCCACTGAACATGTCCTTTCTTTCCCTCTACAGACATAACCAGTGCGGTGCAATCCAAGCGAAGAAAATCCAAGTAAACAACCAGGACGGTGACGATACTTGTAAATGTGTGTGACTTTTACAAAGAGCAATTTTGAGCTGTGACTTTTTTAAATCCATTTCTGTACAGTTAATAATTTTAATAATGTGGCCCTTTTCCTAGTCCCTGCAACCTGTTTCATAAAGTGCAATGGGGAAAGCAGGATTGTTGAGCCCTTTTGGTGTTGCAAGTTGAAGTTCAAGGTTTCTAAAATGTTTTCTTGTATTGAAAGGAGCTAATGCCATTATAAATGTTATTAGTTTTCACATTTCCTAAGCAGCCTAGAGTACAGGGTGAGCATTTTTAGATCTCCTAATGACGTACTGTGCCGTGGAAGTACTGTGTGTGAATAGCAGTAGTGGGGGCAAAAGCAATCTTCTCATTTGGAAATGTTGTAAATAATTTTATTATATAGTGTTTTGGATGTATTTGTTGTAGAAATGGACCAGTGAATAAAGAGAATCTAAGGATTTGTACAATGTGAAATAATGTGTTAAATAAATGTCATTGTCATAGAACATAAAGTTATGTTATTGGTAAGGGATTATTGGGTGATAAGCTCTTTCTTTGGTCCTTAAATAAGCAGACACAGCCTTCTTTGTGAATGGGATTCTCATCTAGTCCTCATTGCACCTGAGATGCCCACCTGGCAAGTTGAGGAAAATGTACGTACTTGCTCAATTCATTCTTGGCTTTGAAGAAACTAGCTCTGTTCAGCACTGTGCCAGCTACTTTGATATCTATTGCTCAAATTTCTTTTGGATGCAAATAATAAAACCAACTTAGAGATCAGTGGCCACCCAGGATTTTCTAGGGACAGGAAGCTGTCAGCAGCGGAGATGGCATTTTTCACCACATCACACACATCTGCCCCTCCATGTGCATTGTGGATTGCTCCAAAACGTTTCCTCCATAGAGGAGATAAGCCCAGACTGGCCTCTAAGATTGTACCAGCATCAAGAATCTAGCCCAGTTTAGGTCAGGTTTCTACCTTCAGTCCAATTCTGTGGTTAGATGGAGCAGCTACCAAATAAAAGGGGTCATTTTGTGTTATATATTTCAGAGATGTCCAGTACATTTCACTTTGGCTGCCCTGCTTTGAAGTTTGTGTTGCCTCCAAAGCCAGCTGCTTCTGCCCCACCCTACCCCCAACTTTCAGGAGACTTTGATGCTTGGGACCCTGGACTTGTCTCAGCCTGGGTTTCAGCCTTCTGCTGCATCTCCCCTAGGGTTAGACTTCATCCTTTCCCCTCCAGTGGCTCCTTGCCCTTGCTGTAACCCAGTGCCTAAGACCAAAAGGATGAGTTGGTCATTCTGTCCTGCTCTTACTCTCCTCTCTATTCCAGCTGTCTTCATGTATGTGTCTTGCATTATAAAGATCCTCTAAAAGTAGTCATATATGAGTCAGATGCCATTGTCTGGCTCTGTTCCCAGTAAGCTTATCTACCCTCTTCCTCTCCCGTATGACACACACACAGAACCAAAGCCAGCTTAATCATAATACTCTACGCCACTACTGTGCTTAAGATTACAAAGTGCTTCGCATACTTAAGCTCAACTCAGGCAGAAAGTATCATGTGCTTTAAATAGATTTTTATTTGTTTTTCTTTATATTAATTTTTTTTCTCCCATAGAGGAATAGCATTACAGTCTAACAATCAGAATTCTGTTACACACATACACAGGCATGCCACATGACCCGGTTGAGGTGGTTGTTTCCTTGAGTCTGTCGACACATCACATGGTCAACCAAAGTCTCATTTCAGCCAGTCTCAACAGAGAACACCCAACAGGGACGCACTCAACTTGTTGGTTCCATGTGGAACTTGGTGGAAGGGTGAGAGGGAAAGTAGTAGAAATGGGCTATGGTGTGTCTGCATTCAGTCCCCTCACATAAAGCCACATGGATCTAGGAGGGCATCCAAGAGCTCTGGTGGGGTCCTTGTTGCACCTAAGACATTACAGGTCAGCGCAAGTTGATCAGAGCGTTCCAGGCAGGGAGCTGGGGAGCAGGCATACTCCAAAACAGCACCAAACTGCATTCATACACACACACTGCCCTGCTGGGGCTAGACTGGCAAAGGCTGGAAAGACACCCAGCTTGAAGGAACCACTCAGACTTACTAGGGAATAACTGGAAGTCACTCTGATGTAACTGGGACTCACTCTAGAAACAGGGGTCCCTCTGACACAGTTTTGGCAAAGTGCTGGTAGTACTGACATTAATACTCACAAATTGGTAAAAACTCCTCTAGGGCCACTGAAAACATCAATCAAAACAGACTCTCTAACCTCCTCCTAAGGTTGCATAGGACTTTGTGAACTCTGGTTCCCTCATGTATTCAAGTTCTGTGGTTTAAAAAAAAAATCCTGAAGCATGCTCAAAGGTGAAAGGCACGTACACAGTCAATACAGTATGACAAGGTCTGATGCTTCAGGAGTCAGACTAGCAGGAGACTGAGTAGTGTTGGTTCTTAGAAATCTATACACAATTAAAATATTGCCACACTCAAATGCTACAGAATCTATAGGAAAAGTACAAAAAATAAGAGCCTTGCAGCCAGCCAGGTGAGAGATTGGGTTCTAGAACTACAGGAGCCTCCAGAAATATAGGTAAACACAAGGCCTTTTAAAATTTGAGCCAAATGCCCTATAACTTAAGCTCTTCCCCCACCAGAGGGATCATGGGCACCACATAGGACTGAGCCTAGGCCCCAGCTGGCAGTGAGGAGTAGGCAAGAAGGGTTGGAGGGATTTTCAGCTCTTGGAGGTGCCGAAGACCCTAGGCTGGCTCTGAAGTGCCCAAATGGTAGCTGGAAGAATAAAAGCAACTAGGTTGTAACTAAAGGAGAACTTAGGGAGAGGAGCAAGGCTGCCAACTACTGGGGCCCTAGTGGACTGGTGTGGGAGTTTTGATCAATTTTTAGTGTTAATTTGGCTTATTCCCTGGGATAGGAGACCCCAACAGGTTTTCTCCTCTGCCCTCATCCCAGCATCCATGGGGATACCCCATACCTTCCCCACACATGCCCCATGAGGCCTGGGACTATAGGGTCAGGAAGGGCAGCTGCCTTTGCCCTCATGGGAATGCAGAGTTTTCTCCAAGCCTCAGCTTGGCTGTGAGGCCTGGAAACCTAAAGTTGGGGTGAGGGGAAGACCTATGTTCATATGTACCAAGAAGTCTTAAAAGTTCCAAGGAAGAGTGAGTATACTAGAAAAGGACGGCTAGAAAGAGGAACTGGGAAGCAACTTGGGCATCCCAAGAGGCTGTTGCTGGTGTCTGAGCCCAAAATTCAATCTCCACAAGAAGAGGGAAGCCTCTGCCCCTTCTGCCTCCCCCAGGGATTCACATTTCTGGAGGAGGAGAGGAGAGGGACCATAGGGCACCCATTTCTCCCAGCAACCTAGAAAGAGAGGCCTGTGGGAGAAAAAGAAGAGGCCCCCTGAAGGCCCTGAACCTGGATAAGAACAATTCGGGGATTAGGACAGTGAGGCTCCTGGACTCCTACTCAGGACCGCTGGCTAGCCATACTGAGCAGAGTGTGAAATACAAGACCAGAGGCAAGCAAGGTGAAGGCTGAGCTGTCAGCGTTGGGATGGCTTCACCCCATGGTGTGTCCTCTCCAGCATCACTGCTCTGCACTCTGACCTAGTGTGAATGCCCTTTGCCTGCCTGGAAGCCCTGTGGCCTGCATCTCCCCTAAGCTATTCTAGCACCTTGGGCTTGTGAACAAACGGCCAGGATGGTGGGACCTTGCCCAGCTTCTACTTCGGTGACATGTTCGGGGGTAGAGTGGCAAGGTACTAACTAAGCCCTTCAGAGTCAGGAACCTGCAGAAGAATGGATTATAGAAAAGGGAAGTGGGAGCAGACTCGAGGCTTCAGCCTGGAAGCAGGGCATTGCCTCTCTGAGCAGGCACAGTGCGAGCTCCCTTGGTGCCCTGCTCCCTGTAGCTTCTCAACATGTCTGTCCTGTCCGAATCTCCAATAGGCTGCCTCATTTCCTAGATTCCCTCCGTCTTCTCCCTCTAACTCACTTGCACAGTCCTCTTCTACATACTGTACCTTTCCAGGCCTAAGCAGCTCCACAGAGTACAGCCCCCCAAGGCAGAAGGAAGGGGAGACTAAAAGCAAAACCCCGAGCCCTTACTAGAGGGCAATGACAGTGGCCCAGACTGCACAGGCTCTACCTGGTCAGAGCTGGGCTCAGGGTCTCCACCATTTGGGAGCAAATTACTGGGAATGAAGAATAAGGGAACAGGGGTGAGTGTAATGCCAAACACGGGATAGTGTGAGTCATGTAAGGTGGGAGTTGAAGGTGGGGAATGAGCCAGATCAGGGACTGGAAGAAGCTTTCAGAAATAGGAGCGGGCCAGAGGTAGAGGACTGGAGGGCAAGGGTGAAGGGGAGAGACAGGGATGCGGACCAGAGAAGAAAGGATGGAGGGGTCAGGAGCAGGGGGCATGGATGATTAGATGCTGGGGATGGGGGCCAGAAACAGCGAGGGCGAATGAGGGCGTGAAAAGGGGCTCAGAGGCGGATTAGAGGATCAGAGATGGGGAAATTGAGGGTGTCAGGGAAGGAACGGCTATCACCCAACCTCAGCTTTAAGGAGGGAGGTTTTCGCGTCCAGCCCGAGGCGTCGAAGGGACCCGACAGGGATCCGTAGTCGGCAAGGGGTTCGCGGCGCGACCAGCAGACGCTCAGTAGTTGAATTGGCGCTGGCACGGCTGGTAGATGAAGCTGCCCTGGTGCTTGGACCGGCGCGCACGGCTCTCGCGGGCTCGGTTCTGCCGCTGCACCGCCTTTGCGCTCAGCGCGTGGCGCTCCGCCCGCTGCCTGGCCCGCTGCAGCCGCCGCACCTGGCCCGCCTTCTCCAGCAGCGCCGCCCGCGCGGGTAGAGGAGCGGCGTGGCGCGCGGCCCGGGGCTCGCGGCGGGCGGGCGCCAACTCCCTGTGGACACAGAGCGGGGCTGGGTCAGGCCGGGTAACCCGGGTGGGAGGCCTAAGGGGCGCTGCCATCTCCCACCCTTGCCTTGCTGCAGTTCTGTGTCTGCTCAGATTGGGGTGCCCGACGCACTTCTTGTGGGTACCAACCCGGAGGTGTCTCCTCGGTTCTAGCCCCTGACAGGTAAACTGGACCTCGGCGAAGACTGGACTCCCACCCTCAATTCCACCCTTGCCTTTCTGTTTAAGTCCCACTCCACGGCACTCCAGCCACGCTCCTCAAGCCTCCAAATCCGCCTGTGGCCTCTTAGCCACGCCCCTCCCTCCCAAGCCCCGCCCCGGCCACGAGGCCACGCCTCTCTCACCCGACAGTCCCGCCCCTCACCCTAAGTCCCGCTGCTAGCCTCGCCCTGCGGCCCACGGGCCCCCGACGTTGTCTCGAAGGCAACCCTCCCAAGCCGCTCGAGCGCCTCCTGCCCTGGACCCTGGCCTCCAAGATCCATCTCCCTGGGCCTCCAGGCTCCGCCCCCGGCCCGCTCACCTTTCGCTGAGGTCGCCGTCAGGCAGGGCCGCGTCCGGAAGCGGGGAAGGGGGCCCGGGCTCCAGCACTATGGTGCTGCCGGTGACGTAAACGGACATGCTGGGGTGTTCGATGAGGAGGTCCTCCAGGGGGCTGCTCTGGAGGCGGGCGGGAGCGAGCCCAGGCCCCTCTGCAGTAAAACAGGCGGGAGGGGTAACAAACCAGCTCTCGTCCATCAAGGAGGGCGCGGGCGGAGGGCGGCCCGCGGGGGCAGGGGCGGCCCCGGGGCTGGGTGGAGCCGCGTAGCTGTCTACGGGGCGCGGGGTGGGAGCGGTGCAGAGGAGGGGAGCAGCGGCAAGGGACACACACACACGGGACAAGGGGGCGGGGAGAGAAAGGGCATCGTTAGTCAGACACGCAGCCTGTCCGCAGCGCCCTGGGGTACCCACAGGCCAAGAGTCTCGCCCTGCTGCCCTAGGGGTCCTGACTTGCAGCCTCTCCTGAGCCGCCAGGAGAGGGCCCCGGCTTTCATGGGAAGGGGCCCCGTGACCCCACCTCCAGTAGGCTTGGGGGACCCCCCAATCCCCCAGCCCTTCCCCTCCGCTGCTCGACCATCTGCCCTTAGGATGAGTTCACAGGCCCAGGAGGCTGACCCAGGCCTCACCCGGAAGGTCAATGATGAGCCAGCCGTCCACTTCATCCTCCTCTGACACGAAGGCGCGGGGGCAGTCGGGGTCTTCAGGGGCCGGGGGGGTGCTGAAGAAGAGGCTGGTGAGGCGTTGGAACATGGTGGGGGGCGAAGCGGCCTCACGGGGGCGCCCTATGGCAGTGCAAAAACCTGGGAATCATAGAAGGGCGTCAGAGCCACCAGTGATTGAGGTTCACCCCACTCCTGGCCTGGGGCAGAGGACAGAAGATATCACCCCCAGAGGAGGGAGAAGGGTACACAAAACAGGGATGTGTGCAGACGCTTTTGGGGTATGGGCTTTCTTCATTCAAATCCAGGCTTTAAAAAAAAAATCTTTTGTATGAATTTAGGAAGTTATTTAACATATCTGTGCCTAGTTTTCTCATCTCTCAAAAGGCAATGATAATAGTACCTTCCTCAAGGCTCTTATAAGAATTAAATGAGCTAATAATAGTGTCCTCCTCCAGGCTGTAATAAGAATTAAATGAGTTATACCAAAGTTGTTGAAGGAGAAAAAAGGGGGAAAAAAGAACTAAATGAGCTAAACACTTATAAAGTGCTTAGAACTGCATCTGGGCATATGTAAAACACTCAACAAGGTAATAAGTTAGTTGTTATTACAGGGTGCTTTAGGAACATGGAAAGAGTGACACATGACACAGCTGTGTCAGGGAAGGTCTCCAGAGAACTTGACATCAAAGCTGGACCTTGAGGAGTAAATAGGAGTTTTCCAGGCAGGGAGGAAATTGCCCATATTGTCTACTTGTTATCATCATAATATAGCTAGGCTAGCTGGGCACCGTAGCTCCTGCCTGTAATTCCAGCACTTTGGGAGGCTGAGGCCGGCAGATCACAAGGTCAGGAGATCAAGACAATCCTGGCAAACATGGTGAAACCCCGTCTCTACTAAAATATTAAAAAATTAGCCGGGCATGGCGGTGCATGCCTGTAGTCCCAGCTACTCGGGAGGCTGAGGCAGGGGAATGGCTTCAACCCGGGAGGCAGAGATTGCAGTGAGCCGAGATCGCACCACTGCACTCCAGCTTGGCAACAGAGCAAGACACTGTCTCAAAACTTTATGTATGCATGTATTTAGTCAAGCTTGTACCTGAAGCCTGACTGACTTTCCACACCTATTCCCTAAAGATAGTCAATGGCGACCGGGCACGGTGGTGTATGCCTGTAATCCCAGCACTTTGGGAGGCCAAGGCAGGTGGATCATGAGGTCAGGAAATTGAGACCATCCTGCCAGCATAGTGATACCCCATCTCTACTAAAGATTTAAAAAATTATCTGGGCGTGGTGGCACATGTCTGTAATCCCAGCTGAGGGAGGCTGAGGCAGGAGAACTGGTTGAACCTGGGAGGTGGAGGTTGCAGTGAGCCGAGATTGCACCACTGCACTCTAGCCTGGCAACAGAGCCAGACTCCATCTCAAGAAAAGAAAAAAAAAAGATGGTCAATGGCAAAAGAGGCAGAAGCAGGTGGATCACTTGAGGTGAGGAGTTCAAGACCAGCCTGGCCAACATGGTGAAACCCCATCTCTACTAATAATATAGAAATTAGCTGGGCATGGTGGCAGGTGCCTGTAATTCCAGGCTGAGGCAGGGGAATCGCTGGAACCTAGGAGGCACTACTGCACTCCAACTTAGGTGACACAGTGAGACTCGGTCTCAAAATAATAATAATAGTAATGTAGCTAACATTCATGTTCCAGGCACTATACCAAGCAGCTTTACCTATATTACCTCATGTAATACTCACAACTACCGGAAGTGGATAATAATTACTATCCTTACTTTACAGTTGAAGAAATTGAGGCTCTGAGAGGGTAACTGTCCCAAAGTTCTCATAGCTAGTGAGAGACAAAGGTGGGATTTGAACCCATGCAGTCAGATTCCAGAAGTAGCACCCAGAATCACTGTATTCTATTGCCTTTGCTGTGTATCTGTCTGAATTTGATATTTTCAACTTGGTGGCCAGGGATCATTGCCCATTTGTATTTTTCTGGGGAAAGGGACCCTTGGTTTTCATCATGATTTCCTAAACAGCAATCCTTGACCCCAGAGATTAAGAACCACTCCTGGAGCCTGTGTGGTTTAAAAAGCACTGGACAGCAGAAATCCCATAGAACTGCTACCATCTTACCATGTGATTTGGCACATCTCAGTTGTGTCTGTCATATGAGGTGTAAAGATGGCATGCCATCTCCTGTTCAAGGGCAGCATCCCAGGCTAGGAGGAAGATCAGGTTGCTTGGGCTCAGGGAGACAGCAGATCAGTGGGAGGTGATGATGGAGGAAGGGAGTTGTCAGATTCCAGGGGCCCTTAAGGATGAGCACTGAGGGTTGGACCCGGACCCAAGCAAGCCCTCAACCAATCTTTCCCTGGGTGAGTATTAAGAGGGAGGCCTCTTGCTCCAGAAATGGTGGTGGCTCTAGATCCACCTCACCTCCCCATGTCAGCCTACCTCAGGACTACAGCTTGGCTGGGGGCTGCTGGCCAGACTCCCCAGGATGTACCTGAAGCCTGACTGACTCTCCACACCTGTTCCCTAAAGATGGTCAGTGGTTTTGCTGCTGAGCAACTTGTCACATTCAGTGAGGGTGTTTCCACACTTCCTGTAGAACTTCCTGGGGGCATGTCCAGACTTCTGTTCCCTTGAGGCATTTCTATTCTTTCTGCTAATCCACCTGCAGTATTTCCATGCTTATTGCTTCTTCCCTCTATTCCCTGGGAATGTTTTCACACTTGCTGCAGAATCACCTCACTTCCATACCCTGAGAATATTTCCATATTTGCAGGCGGACAATAGGCTCAAGATGCTGGCTTCCCTGGTGGGATTGGGGTGGGAGATCTATAGGGGTTATGAAGGTGAGGCCACCCCCAACTAGTGTCCACCCAGCACAATCCACGTATCCTAACTCATCTGTAGCCACAGGGAGCTAGTGACTCCATTACCAAAAGCCCAGAAAGTTTGGCTCCTCTTGAAGGAAGGGAATATTGAGGCCTTGATAAGGCACATCCTCTTTCCAAGAACCTACTACTTCACGGAATATGAAAGAGAAGTTAAGAGCTATTTCAGGGACTATCATATTCACCTAGCCCATTTTATAATCTGATGATCAGAAAGAGGACATAAGTCTATGCAAAAATACATGGCTAGATAGTGGCAGGGCAGGCCTAATCCCAAGTTACTGAGCATCCAGTCCAGACTGTACACAGGGAAGACTCTGAAAACAATCCCCAAGAATATAATGATGAAGGGGTACAGGGAGGTCAAAGAGAGACCTTGACCTAGCCACTACAAAAGGATTTGGAGTTCCTGGCACCAAGATTTAGCATGCATTAACTGAAAGAGGCTCAGGAGAGAAGCTCCCTGCCTGAGGTCACACAGCAAGTCAGTGACAGCCAAGAGTGACAGCAGCACCAGCCAGCCAGTGCCTGCCCCCTCTCCTGACCACTTGGGGAGCCTCCCAGATTTTCTTTCCCAGCCCTGCCAGCTTCCTGGTTCTCACATTCCCAGTTCTGCTCCAGGGAGAACCATTCCCTTTAATAACTACAGCAGCTCTGCCCAGAATAGCATTTGAGTCCTAAGCCACCCCTACCCCCAGCCCATCCTTGAGCAAACTCCCAGCTGCAATGGAGTTCCTCGTTCTGCCTCTAGGCCCCATCCACTTAAGACATAAACTCTCCTTTTCCTATCCCTTCTCCTATACTCTCTGGGGGCAGAAGGGGTGAGGAAGGTGCAAGAAAACACTTGCAATTGTCTGCACTAGGCCAGGTTAAGTCCTTCTTGGCTTACAACCTAGGGAGTTGGGGAGGTAAAGGGCCAATAGAGGGAATCCTCACCCCCACCTCCACCCCAACATCAGTCCTGGAGACACCCGGAGGCAACCAATGACTCACCTCTCTGTGATCAAAACAGCTGGGAGGCAGCGATTTTATTGGACTCTAGGACTCCAAGGTATAGTGAGGACAGAAGGGCTTAGGACCACAAAAGGTGAACCTATCTCCAGAGATTCCCTGGAAAAGGGTCCAGGAGTAAGGAGACCTAGGAGCCTATCAAACCGTGATGATGCTGAGCCCAAGATAGGGTCCCCAGAGGAAGGCGGATGTGTATCTTGCCAGTTGTATTGAGCCCCTCCTATGTCTATGCCCCTGGCTAATAATGCATCTGTCACTCAGTGAGCATGACTCTAATTGGCTGTGTGACCTCCAGTGAGCTAATCCTCCTCTCTGGGCCTGTTGCCCCTTCTGTGAACTCGGGTCTAAGACCCCTCATTTTGGGTCTGGGAGTGACATTAGCTAACGCACTGCACACAAATCAGGGATTAGGAGGATGTTATTCTGTTAGTCCCTGGGGGCGGAGTCTGGAGCCAGAGGGAGGGGATCCGACCACCATCTGGTGCCGTCCCGAAGACCTAGAGACCGAGGCAGCCCTGAACTCCTGACGGCCCCGTCAACCTACGCCCAGCAGCGCCGTCTGACTCCTCAGGTTGCAAAGAGAAAGTAGGGGATCAGAGGCCTGACCCCAGCCCCTGGATTAGCCTAGGAAATCGCCGACCCCCCTACAGTCCCCTTTGGATGGCAGCGTCTGACCCAGGGCCCAGCCCCGACACAGCGGCTACCGGGTCAAGGGAGGACAAGCGACCCGAGCCCGTGGGGGCGGTGCCGGCCTTGGTGACGTCTCAATGTCATATGCAAATAAACTACGTCATGGGCTACCGGGCTGCGGCAACCAATCGGGAGCCGGGAACGCGGCCCCGGCGGCCGCTGGCGGAGACAGACAAAGGCCCGGGCGCAGGGGGCGCAGGGCGTGTCCGTGGCGGGGGAGCCCCCCAGGCCCATGAGGGTCGGGACTCACCTGGGGACGGGGGTGGGAAGCGCGGCGCTGAGGTAGTTGGGCGGCGGGGCGTCCCAGGGTCGCCGGCCGCTCACAGGCCCGGCCGCATCGCGGGGACTCGCGGGGGAGGCGTCGGGGCCGCAGTCGCTCCGGGCTGCTGCGCTCGCCCGCTGGGCTTTGAGTCTGTGCTGCCGCCGCGGCGGGGCTCACTGCACAAATTGGAACGTTCAAACAGCTGATTGTGACGTCACAAAGGGGCCCGCCCGCTTCGCGTCACCGGCTGGCCGGACGGCGGCCAATCCTAGGCTGCGGATCCCCCCGTCCCGCCCCTTTCCTCCTGGTTTGCGGGCCGGGCGCTCGGGCCGGGAAACGCTCTAGGAGCCGGGCGGGAGGTCGGGGGGTCGGGGGAGGCGGCTGCGGGGAACTGGGAGCCCTGCGCCGCGGCGAGCTCTCCGTGAGGAGGCTCTCCACTCCCTCCTACCGGTTCCTCATCTTCCTGACTCTTCCCCAATCGCAGCGCCCTCACCTCTCCACTGCTCCCCAAATCCTTTTACTGCGTCCTATATCCAAGTTCCCCGATACACACCACGTCCGTGCACCTCCATTCTCCCCACTGCGCTTCTCCTCGCTCTCCCTCCTCTGGCTCACCTCCTCAGCCCTACACACTTTCTGTTTACCCAACCTGTTTTTCATCAGTTTGGCAGGTTCTTTTCAGAAAGGGGGCATCCCCCACCCGCGGTTCCGGGGAAGCATCTGGGAATGTAGAGAAGTTAGTGAAGCTGACGGGAAATTTTACAGAGTAGGACTTGGAGAGGAATTGCCCTGGGCTGAGTAAACATTGACCTAAAACGGCTCTGCACTTGAACGTTTACACACTTTATTTAATCCACGTTGCTACCGGGGCTGTACAGAAGTGGCAGAACGAGCACTGATTATGAGTCCTGATTTACACGTGAGGAAGCTGAGTCTCACAAGCTCACTGTTAGCGTGTGAACTCGTATTCGACAATGCATTCAACATTTATTGGGCACCTACTATTGCACCACCATACCACTAGCAGACATTTATTGAACACTTACTGTGTGCCATGACCTTTGCTACGGTGCTTTATGTATGTTTTTTTGATCTTCACAACAACCCAAAGGGTGGACATTTTCCTCGTTTTACAGTTGAGGAAACAGACTCTGAGAGCTCAAGTGACTGTCCTAGGTCACAAAAGTATAGTAAGTGGCAGAGCCAGGATTTGAACCCATAGCTCCCAGCCCTGACCCTCTCCATTCTCTACATGCACCCGATGGTCTAAACCCCAGGGTGCTTCATCCTCCCCAGGACTGGCTTTCAGTCCTGACTGTGCCCTAGACTTGCTGTGTGACCTCAAGTCATGTTACCTCTCTGGGTCTCAGTTTGTCAAACAATGCATCCAGGCTTCCCTCTAAAGCTGCCATTGTAAGATTCTTCCAAACTCTCTGCCCTCAGGATTCTGCCCACCCCACACTCTAGGCCCCAACTCTCCAAGTGGCCTGGGAGATGCCTGAGGAGAGACCACAAATACACATCTCAGAATCTCCAGGGCCAGAAGTTCTAGGTCCACAGAGCAGGGCTAGTCCAGTCTGAGAACTGCCCTTTTGGCCCAAAAGGAGGCTGGCAGTGACCTAGGCCAGAGCTTAATGCTCTAGCAGTGATAAAACTGTCCCAGCCAAATCTGAAACTCCCAAGGGACTCCTTAACCCTAGTGACAGAGGAAGAAGCCAGAAAAAAATAACCAGAGCCTGAGGGGTGGGGAGTGGCATTGTGGCCCTTGGAGTGTTATACCCAAAGTGTCCTCATGCCGTGCAATTCTGAGCCTCTGCCCATCACAGCCACTTCCTGCTAACCTCATATCCTCTCAGACCTACTTGCTGACTTTAACTAAATAAACTGAAACATGTCTCTCCTGTCACAACACTTGTTTGTTCTAAAACCTGATGTGGCTCCCAAAGCCCCACACTCCTAACACAGCATTCATGCCCCCCATGCTCCAGCCCCGGTTCTCTCCAGCTTCACCTCCCCTTCTCCTACATGCACCTTGTGCTAACGTCAAACTCCTCATTGTCTCTTCAGTACTCTCCCACCTCCACCCTTTTGGTCAAGCTGTTTCCCTTGCCTGGAATGCCTTCTTCCGAACTTTCTGAACTCCAGATCTTTCCGGTCTTCAAGATTCTACTTGGGCAGATGTGGTGGCTCACACCTGTAATCCCAACACTTTGGGAGGCCAGGGTAGGAGGATTGCTTGGGGCCAGGAGTTTGAGACCAGCCTGGCGAACAGTCTTACAGAGACTGTAAACCCCTTCTCTGCAAAAAATAAAAAAATTAGCCAGATAATATTCACTTGTAGTCCCAGCTACTCGGGAGGATAAGACAAGAAGATCACTTGGGTTTAAGGTTACAGTGAGCTATGATCAAGCCACTGCATTCCAGCTTGGATGACAGAGCCAGACCCTGTCTCTTTTTATTTATTTATTTATTTATTTATTTGTATTTTTAGTAGAGATGGGGTTTCACCATGTTGGCCGGGATGGTCTCGATCTCTTGACCTCATGATCTGCCTGCCTTGGCCTCCCAAAGTGCTGGGACTACAGGTATGAGCCACCTCACCCGGCCCAGACCCTGTCTTTTTTTTAAAAAAAAAAAAAAAAAAAAGAAAAGAAAAAAGAAAGAGAGATTCTAGTCACTCTTTTTTCCTCTAGGTAGCCTTCCTTGTTCCTACCCACGTGTTGATAGCTACCTTGCTGGATAGTCATTTATTTGTTCAATAAACAGTAAGTGATGATGATTCATTGTATGCGAATGTGTCTTCTCAAGTGGATAGTTGGCATCCCAAGGGCCGGGTCTTTGTCCATGTATTGCCCCTGCCCAGCTTGTGGGGGTCTTGCATAGAGTAGACTTTCATTAAAGGCTCAGTAGTTATAGCTCGAAGCTCCAGAAGGGTGGCTAGTACAGCAGTATACACCTGGACGCTCTATCCTGTGTACAGGCAATGGTCTGTTGAGAGGGTTCTGGTTCCCCAAGCCCAGAGAATGGGGCTCTTGGCCACATTCTGGTCCCTAAGTGACCAGCTTCTGTTCCCAGCATTAGCTGAACCCCATTTCTAGGCTGCTACATCAGATCTCAGTGTTCCAATTCTCTGTAGAGTCAGAGGTACCCATGGAAGTGGGGGACAGTGGAGGCCCCTCCTGAAACCCCTAGGACCCATTCCTCCTGTCCACTACAGAGATGTATTATCTGGGCTCGAGGAGACCCCTCATTTTATAGGTGAGGAAACTGAGGTGCACTGAGGAACACATAGGTCAAGATACTTGCTTAGAATCACACAGCAGCAAAGCCATCTACTGACCCTGGCCCTGGAAAGTGGGCTTAGTATTCTGAGACCCTGGTCTGGGCCTGCAGACTGTAAAAGGAGGCAGTGGAGCCAGGCAAGGCAATGCAGGTCTGTAATCATAGCACTTTGGGAGACCGAAGCAGGAGGATCACTTGAACCCAGGAGTTCAATACCAGCCTTGCCAACATGGCAAAATCCTGTCTCTACTGAAAATACAAAAATTAGCGAGGCATGGTGGCCAGCACCCGTAGTCCCAGCTACTCAGGAGGCTGAGGTAGGAGGATCAATTGAGCATGGGTAGTTGAGGCTGCAATGAGGTGTGATCATGCCACTGCACTTCAGCCTGGGCAACATAGGGAGACACCGTCTCAAAAAAAAATAAGGCAGTGTGCATCATGTTTGGGGTAACTCTGGAGTCTCATTTCCAATCAGACAGAAGGTGCCATTCCTATGCACACACATGGATAATCATGGGTATCTGCACATACAACGAAGGCATCCATATATAAACATATACACACATGCACATGAGCTCATACTCAGAGTTAATAGGGACCCACACCCATCTAACCCATGCCCAGGTATGAGTACCTGCCCAACTTCATGGGCTCCAGGACTGGAGGTCAAGAGGCCACCCTTCAGGCTAAGCACGGTGGCTCGCGCCTGTAATCCCAGCACTTTGGGAGGCCATGGCAGGATCACCTGAGGTCAGGAGTTTGAGACCAGCCTGGCCAACATGGTGAAACCCTGTCTCTACTAAAAAATACCAAAAAACTAGCTGGGTGTGGTGGTGCATGCCTGTGGTCCAAGCTACTCAGGAGGCTGAGGCAGGAGAATTGCTTGAACCCTGGTGGCAGGAGTTACAGTGAGCTGAGATTGTGCCACTGCACTCCAGCCTGGGGGACACAGCAAGTCTCCATCTCAGAAAAAAAGAAAAAAAAAAAAAAAAGGCCACCCTTCCATTCCTTGGGCTTGCCCTCACCAAGCCCTGGGGGCTCCCCACTGGCTTGCCACTGCCTGCCACCTGTCGCCCCCCTCACTTAAAGAGATGTGTCAGCCTGGGTGCCTGGGTATGTCACTCAAGGGACCTTTCGTGTTCTTGCAGGTATGAGCCAGTCTGTGTGCTTGGCTGGAGAACTGGCTCACCACTCCCCTCCTACCCCACCCTTTCCCCCCACCACTTTGAGATAGAGAGTGAGGCTGAGAGGAAGCCCTCTGACATAGATAATAAATTCTTCCTATCTTACCGGTGAAAAAACTGAGACAAAGAGGGGAAAGATAAAACTGGTAAAGCCAGCTAGAGCAGGCATAATCCCCAAATACCCCCAACAGATGGCCCTACACATTAACAAGAGGCCATATCCCAAGAACTTCTATTCAAAAAGCTCTGTTGTAGGCCAGGTGTGGTGGCTCACACTTGTAATCCCAGCACTTTGGGAGGCTAAGGCAGGCACATAATGAGCTCAGGAGTTTGAGACCAGCCTGGCCAATGTGGTGAAACTCCATCTCTACTAAAAATACAAAAATTAGCCGGGTGTGGTATGGGGGTGTCTCTAATCCTAACTACTTGGGAGGCTGAGGCAGGAGAATCATTTGAACCCAGGAGGTGGAGGTTG